TTGTCAAAGTTACCAAAATACATTCCAGCAAGGAAGGAAAATAATGAAAGCTTTCGTACTACAAGCTTGGATAATGAGGGAAGAGATCCAGACAGCACACATTCAGCTTTTTTTGTCTGCTGATCCCTGGAGAAAAGACAGGTCATCCTCATATTGATGAAATGCCAACAGGTGGAGTTAAAATTGCAGCTCCAGGAGGAAATAAGACGTTGGACATACTTCAAAACAAGGAAGTCTTGAAATCCAAGGAAAAATAGGCAAATATATTTGACTTACAAAAGAACATTTTAACTATTTAATTTGTGAATGAGAATCTTGAGAATAGTGTGATTTTCCTACTCTCAGGACAACCCTCCCCACAGCATGGCCTGATGCTTCTTGATTAGGCCATTTTTGGGGAAGTTGAAAACCTGAGCTTTAGTCCTTTCAGTCTGAAATAACAGTCAAACAGATATACCCAGGTGCAGAACACAGCTGAGACCTCCCACATGGTTCATAAGAATCAACAACCCCTTTTCAGCTGACAACTATGGCAGATAAAATGCACATATCCCATAGCAGACCACAGTCCACCCTGCCTTATCCCTGAATTCAGCACTCCAAAGGCAGTGATTTGTTTTTCTGCTCAAGATACACAACTCTTGAATATGAATAGGAAGTTCCTGTGCACATTATGTCTACAGCTTTTCTAACTGTAATATAATTTTTAGTTTCAGGAAGGCTGGTCAGATGTGAAAATGTAAAGGGAACTGATCCTTGATAACGATAAGGACAAGTAACTAACAAAGGGGCGTTTAGTGTTTAGTTCATGTTCTCTTAGAACACGGCCTGATAATAAAAGGGAACAAAAGAAATGTGATGAATGAGAGTGGGGCTCCTAAGAGGAAACAAAACACAGTTGCAAACAAAGATAGTGAAATAATAGGGATCCTTTAAACCAATTGGAGCTTTCCTGCAGAACCTAAAAGACACAAAGTTCACATAGGCCAAAAAGGCTGATTGCTAAACATGTATGTATTTGTAAACAAAGAGTAGTTTGGAGTTAGGAAAAGTCAGGGATGGATGATGTGCTGACTTAATGGAACATTAATTGGGTCAAATGTTCATAAAATTTCAAAGACTTATTTAAATAATATAACTATCCTGTATTTCAAATGAAAAATGGATGCAAGCATTTCCAGATGTTTTCAGATTTTGCAAAATAAAATTTGGAACTTGTCAGTTCCAAAACACAAAACGGAAAGCATAAAAACTCAACAAGTGAATCTGCACTTTTTGGAATCCAGTTTAGATGAAATAGAAATAATAAAAAGTATCAAGGCAAGTAACCAGGTCAAGGCCTCATGTCTTMCAGTGCAAATGGATGCAGGTGCTTTGSTTTMTTTTTACAGAAATACTGACAATATRGGAACCTCTTTAGCTTTCCTTGTCTCMATTGTAATCAAAGGCATAAGAAACAACAACAGAAACCCCTTTTGCTATATGTGCACTGCTGAGTTTAAACATGGATTAATTCAAAAGTAAAAATTACTGCTTTCTGATTCATCACAGTGTGCAATGCAGTCACTCCTATGGTGTTCCAAAGAAACATTCCCTAAAACCCCAAGGGAAGCACCTCAGACACTCCAACAGGCCTGCAGGATCTCAGTTGCCACTGGTCAGGAAACACTTTACCATGTATTTTCCATGTATTTACTCCCAAATACTCTTCTCTTGAATGAATTCATGGCTGTGATGCTCTTGTATGGCCTGAGCATATCCGYTCTTCTCCAAGAGACACAGGAGCTCCACACGTGTGATCATATGGCACTTCCACAGCATGAAGATGGGTAATTCCTGTACAGTTCCTCTGCACCCCCACCTCAAACACCAGTCAGCAGTTAAAGGACAACACAAATGGAGGGAATTCTGTAGAGTGGAGTGTCACACAGCCCCTCAGATGGAGAGGAAGGTTTGCTGGGGCAGAGTGAGCAGGCAGTTGGTCTGGCACAGAGATGCAGTCAATGCTCTTGTGCCAATGTTGGCCCTTTTTGATCACTATACAATCCACATATAACCACGTACATCTGTGTATGTGTGCCTTTCACTCCTCTGTGTGAGGTACAGATTGGGTGGACACAGACTTGGACAAAAGTAAATGTAGCCCCTCCAGACTGCGAAAAGACAGAGGGGCTGAAAAAATCAGACCTTCCTGTCAGTGGGGAATAACTGCAGATGTAAGTTGTAATTACTTCGGGGTTTGGGTTTTGTTCACCTTTTTTTTTTTTTTTTTTTTGGGAGGACTATCTAGAGTCTTCTTAGCACAGATCCTTTCCTCCTTATCCCAAAGAAATTATTGACACAAAAGATTCTGCTGATAAGGTACAGAATAACAGGGTAAAGTTACCTTCCTAAGTGAAGAAGTGCTACCAACACATGCTAGAAAACATTTCAGGACCATTTGTAGAAGTGGCTGTAGTTGTGTTGTTTGCGTTAGCACTCTGAACTATTCCCAAGCTGAGACCAGATCWTTGTGTTTGCTCAGGCATAAGGGGAAGTGTTAATGTTTACTGAGTCAGAATGCTGTTGCTTAAGGAGCTTAATTAAATTTATCATTCTTGGCCCATGGTGTCTCGCACACTGAGCACCAGAAAATGGCAGATAAGGACAGCCTTATTTTCTGTGGTTTTCAAGTAACTGTGACAMGTGGAAGCATCAGTCTGAAAATACCCTATTCTATTAACAGTTTTTCTTACCAAATTCTCAGTACAAAAGAAGAATATGGAAGTGAAAATAATTGAATTGAAAGAGATGTATTTAATATGAATTAAAGATATTTATCTTCATTAAAATAACCAGACAGAGAGCTGCTGTGCTTCATTCAGTTAGAAAGACTTGGTATTCATGTTTATTTTCTATTTACAAATGAGAACCCTGGGRTATGTTAACTTAGCTGGAACTATTCATCTTGAAATTTTCACTTGGAATCCAGCCTGATTTGCAATAATCAAAGGTTAATATCTGATAGGTAGAAGTGGAGAAAATAATAGCTTGGGTCTTTTCTTGCAATTTTAAAATGACTTTGGTTAGAATGTGAGAACAGCAACCCCCAGATAGGCAGGGCACCTGTCCAGTTCCGTCTGTGACACTGGATGCTGAGAAGGCTGTGATGGATCTGCCTTGTCTATGTGTGATAGTTTTTTAAACCTTTTTTAAACCTTAAATATTTTTTGTCTCTGTGATACCTTCTAGCAATGAGTTTCTAATTTTAATCACACACTATATGAAAAGGCATCTTCTGATAATTTTAAGCCCATGATGTGGCAGTTTTATAAAAGGATTTTRAATCATAGGTTATGATAAATAGCTGTTTACATTCTGTGTACCATTAATATTTTACAGATACACAACAAAATTCTTTTAGCCACCTTTTTCTTTCTGTGCTGAGGAGTAATATAAGAGAAAATAGTCCGTAGTATTTCCTCCCCTTGCCCAGGTTTTGTTTCCTGACCCAGATCCTAATTGCTACCAGTTTGTACCTTTTTTAGTTACACTGTTTCAGTGGAGGAAAAAGTCCATATAATACTCAAGATACAGTTTCACCAGTGGCTCAAAGTGGTATAATCATGRTTTCTGTTTCATTTTGACCTCTACTTAGTGAGTTGATGATAAACAATTTTTAGTTCACTGCTGAAGTGACTTAAACAAGCCCCTCTTACTCCCTCATATACAAAGCATTCACCTTTTTTTATGACTCTTGTAATTTATTTTTGACTGATTTCACCATTTGTAAGCAGGTCCCTTCTTGAACTTGGGATGTTGGTGACTTTTCAATTTGTGCACGGATGCTATATTTGAATGCCTTAGAGTCACTGCTACAGAGCTACTCCTCCATGGTGATATGCCAAAATATGTCCTTCACACTGCTCAGGATAAAATCTAGAACGGCTTTTCTCCTTGTGGATCATCTGACAAGTTGGGCCAAGAATTGAAACCATCTAAACCCGTTGTCTCTGAACAATAGCGTGCTATGAACACTTCCTAATCCCCCAGCAGACAGCTGCAGTCTGCACTTGCACCTATCTGACCCTTGCAGCCTTTAATCTGAGGGTGTTGTGCAGCTGTTGTCACCACCCGTGTGAGTCTCYAGGAGCACAGCCTGGATCAGCAGGTGGATTTATCATGCTGAACTKTACAACTTTACCCACTGGACAGGAAAATATTTTGTCAGAGCTTGCCAGGCAGACTCCCATGCTTGTCATCAAAAGAGAGGGACAGACATGCACAGTGTTGCTGGTTCCACTTGCTTTGGGGGGCAGGGGGGTGGGGCTCTCCTTTAGATTGTCCAGGGTGACCTCCCAGTACTGGTTTGTAACAATTTTCTCTTCTTGGCTGGGAAATTTCAACCCAAATTGATTTTACAGCACGTAATAACTGTGTTTTCAATGCGAAGCTGAGCTGTCTTTTAACGAACACTACTGCTCCTCTAGTGGTGTAGTCTTCTCTGTTACTCAGATGYGTTTGAACTCCGCTGTGTTACAGTATCACACTGACTATTTTCTATCAGATGCCTAATACTATAAACATTCAAAATTAACTATTCCAGTTCACTAACCTGCATCCTCATACTCCCAGCAGTCACACAGAGCACTTTCCTGTGGAATACTGACCTAACCCCTGGTTTTGTGCTTGATTTCTTTGGATTGTTTGTACCAATCTTTGTTGTCTCCTGTTTGGATTTTGTCATCTTCTCTCAGGCATGCAGAGTGCTTTGCCCTTTCAATAATGAGTCACTCCAACTGGCATGCTCTCCTGCATCTGTCTCCTTGTCCTCAAGCCTCCATTTTAAAGCACTCCTACAGTTTTGTTTTGTTTTTGTTTTTGTTTTTGTTTTTTTTTTTTTTTTTTTTTTTTTTTTTTTGTTTTTTTTTTTTTTTTTTTTCTAAATTCTGAATGCTAGCAGACCCTCTACACTGAAAGCAGGGGTTTTCTCACATTCTGCATTTGCCTCTGATCTATTTATTGGAATGAAGGCTTATGGAAATACTCTTAAACACAATACTTGAGATGTTTGGGGAATAGAAGTCTTAACTGATAAAAAGGAATCTGTGTGATGTCCTCATGGAACATTCAATCACAGCAGCCCAGTTCAATAAGACAGCACAGAGATGTGGTGAGTCTGTTGATTTTGCTAACAGAGTTTCCTTGSTATACATCAGTTTGGTTAGAAGAAACAGTGAAACCAGTTTGTGCATAATTTATTAAAAATGTGTTTTTAAATAAACAAAATTCAAGTATTTCTCAACCTGTACATAATTATACAACAGAAATAAAGAAACAGGCACATTTGAAAACACAGAGATGAACTCCTTTAAGTAAATGATTTATTAAAAATAATTTTAATGCCCACTGAGGCATGCTATTAAGCTGAGCTAATTTCTYGTGTCTGCCTTGGAAAGCCATTACCCGAACTGTCACCATGCTTTACATGCACAGCACAAAGGAAGACACAAAACCTGTGTCCTCCCCCTCCAGGGAGTGCTGCCAGAAAGCTTTGCAGCCTTGAGTTCCATTACAGGTCTGTCCTKCTACTTGGCCTGTAGGGAATCCCATGTGCATGTAAAACCCATGAAAATAACAAAGCCTTGTACTGCACATGCTCCTTCTCCACAGWCAGCCTTACATACACATTTAAAGGGGGTGCTGGGGAGGCTGAGGGTGATGCCACTCATAAATCTAAGCCTTTGCAGAATATTCACAGTGCTGCCTCTCATTCCACCAAGGGCATCTTGAGTGCAAGGGAGAATTAAGCCAGTACTTTCCAGGGCTATTACATCCCATCCCACCCCTGACACTGCCCTCCAACCCCCCTCGCTCCCTAAAAATAGAATTCTCCAGAAAATTAAAGGTATTTGTATTTGTATTTATGACTAAGACCAAGAAACTGAATACCCCACGTGGAACTTCCGATATGCGTTGTGCACACATAAACCCTTGGGTATTTTACACAGAAATGTTGATTATAATTATAGTGCTAGAACATTTCTATCTGCCAAAGCGTCTGCCTCGCACCTGCTCTCCTACCATGGAAAGAGAGCAATGAGAGAGAACAGAAGCTTCATCAGGAAGGGAAGAAAAATAGCAACCTCTTTAGAAAAGCACCATCAGTTTTTCTTCAAAACAATTTTTTTCTTGGCTTCAGTGTGGGGAAAAAATAAGCACGAATCTTCCACTGTTTCCTTGCTCATTATATAAGCAAATTCAGAAAGGGCATCTCTCCGTTCTYTGAAGAATTGAAATGAAAGGATGGATCCTCAGAGGCTGGCATTTTCTCTTTGATTGAAGAGGCACAGGTCTTGCAGTGTCAAGACAGGTTTTCTCTCCCTCCCTCTGAATGGAACACGTTTGTGGGCACTGTGATATCAGTGAGAATTCATATGACTCCCTTGCAGCTTTCAGAGGGAGCCATGGCAGGATTTAAAACTGCATTTCYTTTTGAGGCCATTGAATCCTTTCTAGATTTCCAATGTTCTGCCAGCCAACGTAAGGTTTTTCCTGATAAAAGCAAAATGTGCACCTGGAAATGAAGCCCTCAGCTATTCTGCAGTTAATATATAGCCCTGGGTTTCATATATAATGAAAATGATGTATTAATATACATACAAATATATGTTCAAATGCAAAGAAAAATACTTCTTCTCAACAAGTTGCCRAAAAATGCTTATGTATAATAGTTGCTTTAACAGAGCGTTCACTTAATATTTTTTAAAATTACACCTATCTCTAAATGTCCTCTTAATGCTTTCTAAGTAACTCAGTAAATAAAAAAAAACACCATTAAATATACATATTTCAATGCATTTGAAGTATTTATTTTGGACAGAAAGGTACTTGGTGTGYATGTGAAACCATGTTTTATTTTGGAGTATTTGCCAACAATATGAGAGATCTCTTGCAGTGCTGAGAAAATGAATACCCAAGGTAATAATTTTCATGATTAGCTCTGCATTTTGGCTGGAAAATGCTCTTAAAATTCTTTGTGCTTTACATTTCCTCTTAATAGMAGCACCATTATAAAAATACATAGTTTAAAGGATTTTCATTTAGGAAAAYACAGCTGACAAGGTTTAGATTTGCTATTTGTCCGTTTCCAACTAGGTCATGTATATTCAGGTGAAAGTTAATTCAATATATCTTTCATATATATGTCAAGATTTCATATATAATTAATGGTAAATATATAAAATATATGTATTCTTGGATGGTAAGAATATATATATTCTCCTACATAAAACATATTTTATATACAATATATTTTTACAGTGTAAATATAAATATAGCTAGAGATAGAGATAAAGATAAATCCTGTGAAGGTAAAAAAAAAAAGAAACAGCAGGAATTTACAAAGTCTATTATAGCCACAAGGAATCTCGGTTTAAAAAAAAAAAGAAATTTGTATGAGATGAACTGTTATTTTGAAAAAAGAACCAGTTTAGGAAGACGGGAGGTAAATGTAATGGAAAAATTTCAGACTCTTTTTTTTATGCTCATGCTGCAGTCGTGCCTGGAGGCCAGAGAGATACTTGGCTGACTAACAAAATGCTAATTATTCAGAGGCTTCTGTTTCACAGAGTAAAGCCACATCAGTAACTAGGAAAGTGGGATCTGGGGAATTYTTAAAGCATACTAATGAAGAAAATGTCAGGAAAAAATTTAAAAGATGAGACAGTAAAATTTTTTAATAATGTTCTATCACACTTACTTGCTATCCTGAATTTCAGGCTGTGAATGCTAGGATGTGTAGGAATGCAATGTCTCTGTGGCTGTAGGTCAAAGAGGAGAGAAATCAATCAAATGTTGAGCAGAGGAAGGCAGTAAAAATATTGAGGATGCTGCTTTGTGATAAGTGTTCTTCAAGTTCTTTAAAAATGAGAAATTTATGACTATCAGAGAAAATTTTCACCCATCTACTTTGAAACTTTTACCTGCRTATAATACCTGTATTATCTGAGTATCTATATTCATGTCAAAACCAAACATTACACCCCACAGTTTTCTGCTCAATATAAAATACATTGAATATTTTGATATATTTGATAGTGAATTTGATAGTGAATAGTATCTTGAATATTAGGTTTGGGCATATAAAGACATGCACAAAGGCTTTTGGGGGGAATTCAAAAGGGGAGGATCTTAGGCAAAATCTCCAGATGGAATACACCACAGACACATATGTCTTACACTCATAGACAATTGTRTGTCAAAACAACATTATAAAGACTGTGGTAGCAAGCACCAGAAAGTTAGAAAAACACCAGAATTATGGTTGTATTTGCAACTTAAATTCAGCTKGCATGTGTATGTGCATTATGGTAGTCGATGGCACCACCACCTCCTCTTTTTCATGGGTCCCTTCCCTCTCCCAGTGCCCAGAATAGGTGGTACGAAGGTRTCAACTGGTTTTTCAAGATATCATTATTTGTTATCTGCACAGTTTGCACACTATGATGGTGYTCTTGCAGAGCAAAAACAAGACAAGACTTCAAAACACTGCTCTGATCGCCAGAGGATTTGGACCTAGGTGATCTAAAAGATCCCTTTCATCCCAAACCATTCTATGATTCTGAGATTCTCATTAATATCAAATSCAGTCCTGAGCCTCAGATCCTTAATGTTCAAGCTATTTAGAACAAGCAAATACAAGAGGGAATTTTTACTTGCAAGCCCTGGAAGGGCTTGAACTTGAACATTTTTACAAATCATACTGATATCTCTCATATCAATCAAAGAAATACAGAAACGTCATTTGGATTCACATTACCTAGCCTGAGACATGTGAAAGCTATTTTTTAGCTAAGCTAGGCATTTCTTAGTTAAACTGGTMATCTTTCAGAGACAGTAGAGACACAGACTGTGCCAGAAAACTTGTCACCTTGCTTGCCCTTTGCATTTTAGACATTTTAGGACATTTTAGAAGACATCCTCTTCTATAACACAATCGTGTCTGAAGGTTCCTATTGAACAGCAGCCTGATTTAGGCTGATCCATCACCATCTTAGGTTTAGATGACTAACCATTAGACACTTAAATTTGATGAGATATAACTCACATGTGAACCTCACGGATTTTTTTTAAAGTTTCTATTTTTCTGGGTGACTGCAACATTAAAATTGTTCCACATTAGAGTCTAGAGGTAAAYTGCAATGTTGTACAAATACAAATGGAACAGCCAGGGGGAAAAAATCACCAGGTCTCACAATAATAGCACCTGAATAGAAAACTTCAGATCTATGATGCAGGATTTTGYTCCTTCAGCTAGAAGAGGAACTGTTAGTGGTACTAACTTGGAGCCTCYCTAGAAGGTGATGAGACCTTTCCAGAAGGTTTCTCAGGCTTTGCTGGAACAAGATCTCCTGAAGTCCACACAGCCTTTGGAAAGGTATACACCGGMGCTACAATTCCTACACCTATTTTTTCCCAACTCAATTCCTCTCTCCCTTCCCCTCAAATGTACCAATATTTTAGTCWTGTATCTTTCCAATTTTGGCTTTTCATGCCACTTCTTATTAACCAGTCCCAGGTTCTAGYTTCCAGACCTCTATTTAGGTCACCTCTGGGGCCAGCATATTCAGGYTCAATGTCCTTCACTAAGACAGACCTGCCTCATGTCTTTTGACTGTTTTCCCAGTCTTTACCCCATTTATAAGCACTTGGAGCTCTTCGTGTCCTTAGTCCTTCACCTCCATCTTCTTACTCTGTAAATGTTATTTCTCTCTTTCAGTTTCTCCTCCCACCCATCTTTTACCCTTCACAAAACCTATTCCTGTCTGACATCACCAAGGTATTCTTTTACAGTTCCAATTGTCCTTCCAATGGTCAATGCTTTCTTTTGCCAGCTCCTATTCCAGTCACTCTTGCTTTGCTTCTACAACCTTACTCCTTGATGACTGTTCTGCCTCTTCCCTCTTCCTGTGCTCTGCTGCCTATTTGCAACTTGGATCCAGTCTGCTTGCTCAAACAYGGTCTGCTCTTCCCACATCCTCAAGCTGCCCTTTCCCATATCTACTGAAGCCTACTCCTCTCCAAAGAAAGGCACCAGAATTTCTTTATGTGGCAAGATGATCTTCCCATCCCTGGTAATGTTCAAGGTCAGGTTGGATGCGGCCCTGATACTGATCAGGTATTGTCCATGGCCCAGATACTGCCCCCAAGAGGGGTTGGAACAAGATGATATTCAAGGTCCCTTTCAACCCAAACTGTTCAACGGTTCTTGAAAATAGCCCAGCGATTTAAGCTATCTTATTTTGATCACAGTCCCCCTACTGCCAACTAATGCCCCTACCACAGGAWAATTCAGCCCAAATAAAATTTGGAAAATTATAAGCAATGGAAATTGTGATTTTAAGGGTGCTGACAAGTAGCCTTAAAAATAAGTGACATCAGTATTTACCTTTGGTACTTCTGGCATTTATCTACATCTTCATTAAAACAGACAGACTAGCAGCCTGTACCAGCCTATTCCTCGTGTTCAGTGCTACTGCTAAGGATCCCTGGGATGTGAACATGCTGGAAGAAGTGCTGAAATTCTGACATGATGGAATTGGCAGCCTCATAACATCAGACACAAGAAGCCAGGGAGGAACTGCAGGCTTAGAGGGGCTCTGTCAGCACTTATCTCCAGGCACCTGTGTAAGAGCTCTGACATCCCTGCAGTGCAGTACAAGATACCGTGGGTAGTCCTCCGGCTGGCACTGCTTATCTCCAGGACTCACATCGCCTTTCTCAGGTGCTTGTTTGTCAGAGGTACAGCTCTGTATCTTGCAATTCATTCCTCCCTGCCAGAGGTTAAATGCTGCATTATATACATCGTGCTACAATATATACATTGTGCTTAGCAGCATGCATCCCCCTGGAGAGTTGATGCTGTGCTGATAGCTTGGAGAGAAAAGGGAAATTGAAAAACAACCCTCTGACTCTATCACTATTTTTGTAGCCAGGAATGCAATGTATCTGAAGAAACAGTTAATTGAATGGAACATTGTGAGAGAAGAGATGACATTGCTAGGGACTGTATTACTGGAGGGGTCAGATCAGGACATTCCAATGATTATCYTAATTTCTTCATCTCTTCTGTCAATAGCTGTTGACTTCATTTCATTTGGCTGCCTCTCACTTATTTCCAGAGGCAAGAGGGCAAATCCTGCCAGTGCCACACTGCAGCATTATGTACTCCAACTGCAGCAAACACCGTGACATTATGCTGCATTATGCTGAGCCAGCCAGACACTTCTGCTGAGCCCTGGCATCAATGATGTATCAGTGTTTCACTGACTCCCATTCTATTAAAAGAGGTTAACAAGATTGGTGTTCAGCACTGATGTCCCTGTTTCTTATCTGCATGGAATTTAAAGTGCCCATAACTCAATAGCAAATGATACTCCTATTTTTTCAAAAATCCCCGTAACTGGTGGCTGATTCCATTACACATTCTCAGTCCCTTAATKTGCTGCTTTCCCATGTGGATACATTACCCTTTACCATTTGCCAGCCTGGGCCTGGGAGAGGAGTAGAGAGGAGGAGRGAAATGAGGAAGCCCAACCTGCTGTGTGCAGTCACACTTTGCCACATGGACATTCAGGGCTGTCACAGAGCTGCACGTGTGCCACGAACACAAACACATTGCTCATCCCCCAGCAGATYGCAGTGATCACCCCACCACAAAATTTGTAACAGCAGCAGTTCTGGGACAAATCTAGGAAAGCTGGAGAGTTTCAGTCTCATTGACAGAGTGGAATGYACAGCTCTSCTCCTTCAAGTGAGGCCATTCACTYCTGAATTACCAGGGGCTGGTTTCCAGTAGCAAACAGTGGATGAAGAGATGTCCTTTTCTGGAATTGCATCCCTACTTTTCACCAAGTTTTCTTTCCAGTGTTTCAGTTAAATAGAGGAAGGGAAAGAATATTTTTCTCCATAAAATGAAAGAATGATGTTTAATACTATTACAGCCTAGTCAAAATCCAGACAAGTGGGGAGAAGTGGGATGGATGTGTCCATGAAAGAGCATTTCATCTTTAGGCGTCCAAACATATCCCTCTGTAGGAATCACCTGGCACTTTGGTTTAAGCGGAATTACACTGCTTGAATATATACTGAGTTTTTTGGTACAAATAGGATGGAAAAAATGCACACCAGCAAAAGGAGAAGCACAACCTTTATGAACCAAGCAATCATTTTATAGCCATTGTTATCAATAGTAATGTGAATAGACTGATTCACTGATTTAGTTCACTGATTTAGTGTTCCTCTGGTTTTTTTTTTTTAATTAAACAAAAAGTTAATTTGTATTTATTTTATTTCTTGGAATCTACTTTGGATCTCATATTATTTACTGGCAAAAATAAATAATTTTGTAGAAATGCTGAATGAAGCCTACTTTCAGGTACTATTTTCAAGTCTATTGAAAATACTGTATCAAATCCAAATAATGATAAGGATAAAAKTTGGTGAAAACATCTGTGTTGGTCTTTGTTTTTTACAAACCGAAGTTTTATTTTCAAACTGTGGCAGAAAAAAATGCCTTTTGTGTCATATCACAACTAAAAAATGCTTGAGGCCTCATAAGAYACCATTGCAAAGTTTTCAGTAAATTGTCATTGCACACAGACGAACATCTATCAAAATTGTACGTAAATTTCCTGAGCAATCTTTTCTTCTAGTGGAAAAAAAGGTCAATTTATGAGCTAGCAGACCAAACATGTAAATAAATTACATATGCATCTACAGTCAGTATCTATATGCAAATATCAGACATATACCTAATTTC